TTAGTCGGGATGTGGATCCCTAAATATTTGATCGACTTGGTAGCCCAATTAAAGTTAAAGCCGGTTTGAAGTTGAGTTTCAAGAGTGTTTGTCGTATAAATTGGCAGGAGGTCGCATTTAGTTAGATTGGCTTGGAAGTAGGAGATTTTACTACAAGCTTCCATTTCCGACATGGTGGAAGAGATAGTTGTGAGTGGGTTTGATACGCTAAAGAGAAGGTCATCCGCAAAGGCCGTGATCTTATATTCCTGTTTATTAATCTTGAGTCCTTGTATGAGTTCATTATCTCTAATTCCCTGGAGGAAAGGTTCCAAGACTAATATAAAGAGGAGTGGCGAGAGGGAACAACCCTGCCTCGTGCCATTCGAGATACACACTGGATGGGATAATTGACCATTAGTTCGAAGTCTGGCTGTGGGTTTTGAGTAGATCGCGTTCAGCGAATCTTGCCACCTCGGGCCAAAGCTCAGGTATTGCATTGTATGTTTAAGAAGTGTCCAATTGACCCTATTGAACGCTTTTTCAGCATTGATAGCCAATAGAGTGCTGTGAATCTTATGCGTTTGGGCCCAATGGATAAGATTGATGACTTTGGTAGTGTTATTTTTGGCTTCCCTGCCCAAAACAAAGCCTGCTTGGTCTTGGTGGATGAGACCCAGCATGAATGGTTTAAGTCTAGTTGCTATTATTTTAGTTATAATTTTCACATCTATGTTTAGGAGAGAAATTGGCCTACAACTACCGCATGCGGTAGGGTCCTTCCCTGGTTTTGGGATAATTGTGATGGTAGCTTCTAGGGCCGATTTGGGTATGTGGGATGAGATATTTTGTGAGTTGCATGCATCTATAAATGGTTGGGCAAGGATTTGCGACATCTCTTTGTAATACTTCCCTGTATACCCGTCAGGACCCGGGCTTTTCCCCAGAGGGAGGGATCTAACAGTATTATGGAATTCTTCTAACGTGATAGGACCTTCAAGAAATGCCGTCCCATTGGGTGGGAGAGTATGTTTAACCCTTGGTTTTAGGAACTCTAAAATCTCTTCTGTGGATGGTTTCGTATTTGTCAGGTTATATAGATGTGAATAAAATTTATGGAAGGCTTTGAGTATGTCTGGCATATGGCATGTTAGAGTTCATCTTCTTTCTTAATTTCAGAGTTTACCTGCCTTACCTCCTTGCGTGTAGTATGTGTTCTTTGTTAAGGATATCTTGCGTTTAGCATGTAGGTGCAAAAGGGTCGTCAGTTCTGTCCTCTTGTGTAAAAGTAATTTGTAGTCCTCTAATGAGGGTATGGTTTGATGTTTATTCTCAAGAGATTTGATCTCTTGGGAGAGCTGGGCGACTTTCTGCTCTCGTTCACGTTTCAGGGCTGCGGCTGATCTGATTAATTCGCCTCTAAGCACTGCTTTATGGGCTTCCCAAGTCATAATAGGTGTAACTTCTGTAAGTGTGTTTTCTTTAAAGTAATTTGTTGCTGTCTCCTACAGCCTGTTGAGGGTTTCTCTGTTGTTTAGTATCAAATTGTTAAGCTTCCACTGAGCAGAAGGATTCGGTAGGGCTGTTAACGAGAGGGTTAGTGTCAACGGGGTATGATCCGACCAAGTGATCGGTCCATACCCCGCCGAGTTTATCAGGGATAGAAATCTGTGCTGCAGTTAAATGGTGTCAATATGTGAGTATGTGCCGGTGGATGGGGAATAGAAAGAGTAATCTTTTTTCATGGGATGTATGGCTCTCCAACCGTCATACAGTTGGGCTTCGTAGAGGGTGTTTTTGATTTGTGTACGAGTTTGTGACTTTTACTCTTGTCAGGGGAATGTGGTGTCTAGGTTTCCATCAAGTGCAGTATTGAGATCGCCCCCTATAATGAGAATCCCCTCTTGGAAGAACGAGAGCTTATGTAGGATTTTTTTAAGAGTTTGATTTAGTTTCTTGTTTGGTAGGTAGACATTTGCTAAAGTGATCGGGGTGTTGCCTATTTTTCCTTTGACGAAAATGAAACTACCCAAGTCATCTACCTGCTGTTCTTGAAATGTGAATTGTGTGTGTTGCCCAATAAGTATCGCCACTCCCCTAGCCTTTGCCTCGGTGTAGTCACTAAAGTAGTCTAGTGGGTAATCTTTGTTCTGTAATTTGGGGGGAGAATTTTTCCGAAAGTGTGTTTCTTGTATAAACGCAATTTGTGCTTTGTGTCTTCGGAAGTCTGTAAGGGCTATCGATCTTTTTTCAGGGATGTTTAACCCCTTAAAGACCAAACTTCTGGAATAAAAGGGAATCATGACATGTCACACGTCATGTGTCCTTAAGGGGTTAAACCTCTTGCGTTTTGTGTATGTATAGTTATGTTAGACATAGTCTTGGGGAGTTGGAGTATATTAATTTAAGAGGGTTGTGACTTACCTATTGGTTGTGGGAGGATAGATGACTGATGTGAGTGTCTCCAATCTATAGTCCTGTTGGTGTTCCCAATTATATTATGTGTGGGTAGTGATGTGTTGTTTCAGTGTGGGTTTGGGATGTCTTTTCAACTTTACCACGCTTTAGGTCCTAGGTTCAATCCGTATTGTTGAATATGTCACCTAACTGGGTCAGGTCTGGGTCTATGTGTCTGGTTGCCGTGTTGTTCCGAGTGAGTCAAAAGGGAAAGCGTCCCCCTGGGGGTTTGAGTTCTTGGTTCTCTGAGTCGTAGGCTGAGAACACAGATAACATGCAACAATAACACAAGTGAGTTGGTAAAGAATAACCCTGTGTAACAAGTTTTTGGTATATCTGCAATACACTATCGTGAGTGTAATAGCGGTCGTTCGAGCAAGAATAAAAGGTCTGATATCTACTTGTACCTTGTTCTGAGGTATTTATGTGTCTCGCAGTGAGTGGTTAAAAGGGAAGTGGGTATCCAGTAAGGGTTTAGGATTGGGTTAAGGGGGGGGAGGGAGAAAAGTGGGTCGGGTATAGGTGGAATGGTGACTGAGGAATAGGATTGAGGGGATTTTCCCCTGAGGGGAATTTGGTTCAGTCTCGACGCTAGAGAGAGAACCTAGAGTTATTTGGGGTCATGGGCTAGGGCATATGCCTTGGACCCTAGGTTACAATCCTATTGTGTGTTCAATCTTTTGGAGAAATAAAAAATATGAAATCTTGCGCTTTGCTGGGGCAAGTGTTTGAAGCAGTAATGTTTATAATTGGAAGCTCTGATTGGCTCCTTAGTGTTGCGGCAATAACAACTTCTGTACATCTCTTTAACTATAAGTTTAATCATAATTTTTTAATTTTTTTTATTTTGGTAGCATGTGGTTAGTAACAAAATTTCATGCCTAGATATCCACTAGCATTGAATTGGGTTTTTGTGGGTGGTTCCGTTACCGGTGCCAGTATTGATGGGTTTAGTAGAGATAGGCTTATGCTTCATAGCTAGTTATTATGTGGTTTGGATGCTGATAGGTCGTTAGCTCACTTGTTAGTGTGTGGCAAGGGCATCGGGAGGTCAACTAGTAGTTATACTGGAAAAAATAAAAGGAACTTTTACTGTTTGGGGTTAGAGTGTAAGTTAGTTTGGCAACAACAAATGCACTGCACCCCTCTTGTATGTATGAGGAACAGTTCCGAACTCCATCACAAGCAGGATCTGAGCGGAACATCTGGATGCACCTAAGTCCAAGGTGGGTCTCGGAATATAAACCAGTACCGTTAATCTGGCTCACCATAGGATGTGTATTGGGGTTGGTTTATCTGAGTGTATTGTATTTTAGGGCCCGTTGGCGTGATTGTAAGATTGCATAGCCTAAAACCATAGTACCATGAGTGCAGGGTTTCCCTTCCCTTCAGGGTTAGTATAAGAGAGATACTTAACCAATATTAGGAATGTAAAATATAGAATAACTTAGCTTAGAACTGCAATGGAAACACTATTACTAACAAATGAGCTATTACTTCGTAATGGCATTTCTGCAATTGGACATTACCACTTTTAAACTTAAAAAATTAGTCGACATATACATGTGAACATACGACCTGCTTTCGTGGTATCTTTATTCCACCGAGTGGTGGGTTATAACAGTTTATCAGCATGCAAAGTGTTACTGGTGAATTCAACGTTGATTTCAAGATATTCCTGGGACAGTTCTGGTGCCGGTGGATCTGGGACTGTTCAGCCAGTAGGGGAAGAGTCCTCTTCGGTGTGTGTAGGATGAATAATAGGAGATCCGTGTATGGGTGCCTCGAATAGAGTGATAATCGTGGGAAGCAGTCCACTACAAAAGTCATAGTGGGTTAGATTTGCTGTGGCTGTCACGGACGAGAGTCTTTAGGCAACAATCTCTGGTGATTGTGGTTGATAGGAGTTCCATCTCGTCTTTGATTTGGGGACAGGAATCTTTGTTCATTTCACCTTTTTTTTTGCCAGTGTGGTCCATTTCTGTTGCTGGGAGGATTGTAGAGTGTCTTGATTTGGTAAAGGAGAGTTCCAGTCTAAAATTGGTGTGTCTGGGAGATCCAGAGTCCTGAGGAAAGATGGTACGTCTAGGAAAGAGGAGATAGAGTGAACATTTCCCTTGTTCTACACAATTAGGGCAAATGGGAATCCCCACCTATATCTTATGTTACGATTTCTGAGTAACTCTGTTATAGGCTTGAGGGCCCTCCTCGTCTGAAGGGTATACCACGACAGGTCTGGGAAAATCTGTATTGGGCTGCCGTGGAAGAGCAGTGTTTGTGTGGTGTCTCTTAGGGCTTTTACTATGTTGTCTTTAATAGAGAAATAATGCAATCTGCAGATGATGTCTCTCGGTGAGTACTGGGCTAGACCTCTTGGGCGAAGTGATCTATGTGCTCTGTCAAGCAGTATTCGGTTCTCACTAGGTTCTCCTAGGATAAGGTTGAAGAGTTCTGTGAGTAATGTGTTAATGTCTTCGTCTTGGGTCTCTGGAATCCTCCTAATTCGCAGATTGTTTCTGCGCCCTCAGTTGTCGAGGTTGTTTATGTGTCGCTGTGTTGATGACATAAATTGAATGTGGGAGTCTAATGTTGTTGCTATGTTGGTTATTTGGGCTTGTAACACGTCCCTTTCTTCTTCTAGATCAGTGACCCGAAGGTTAAGTTGTTGGACGTCGGAGCCCATCTCTTCCATTTTTTTTTGGAAGGAAACTTCGAGTTTGCCTAAAATTAGTTGTATGTCGTCTTTTGAGGGTAAGTTTGTTATTAATTGTCTGATGTCTGTTTCATCATTCTTTTCTGCTGAATGTGTTGAGCATTCTGAGTTGTAAGGGCTGTGTGGCTGTGAACCAGGGAGAGATTCCATCTCTGCCATGCCCAGGGCCGCGGTCGCGGCCTCCGCCACGCGGTCAGAGTTTTCCTTGAAATAGCGCGTTAAAGATCCCATTTTGGCATTAGATGATCTCCCTGGTTGCCCCTGAGTTTGGGGATGTTTTTTAGGGTTGCCCATTTCTTTTATATTTCTCCGATTGCAGTGGATTGTATTTGGGTCTGCAGGAGCAAGTTTAGAATGCGTCCATCGAGATCCTCGGTTAGCCAAAGTTCTTGGGACATTTTTTCGATATACTGCACTATTATTTGCATATCTTTTCTATTTTCTTTATATGTACACGAAAATACAAAAGTGTGATATAGAGGGTAAGTGCCTTTAAGCACTCTATACAAGAATTCACTCATTTTCATATCTAAATATAGTGCTGCACTCCTGAAAACTGAATGTTTAAAGGGTATAAACATCTGCTAAATCTAAGGTTTTTCTATTAGTTCTGATTATTTTAAAATCTACATCGTATATATCCCAGATTCACTTTTTTAAATAGGTTTTGTTTTCTAATAAAAACATGTGAGATTTTGGTTGAGTAATATGCACATCTGATGCACAATTTTTTTTTTTTTTTTGTGATAACATAAAAGCAAACCTAACATAAATGATTTCTTTTAAAACTTTAAACAGATTGTTGAATAATCAAAATGATAAAACAGCTGGATAAATCATTCATTAACAAGAAAAAATGAATAAACTTGAATTTCAAGAGTTTACTTAATAATTCTTACTGTTAATAAGCATTTTTCAAAGGGACAAGCTGTGGAATTTCCCTTTCCTGCAGTAAAAACTGCTACAGATATTTGTCATTAACTTATAATTTTTAATAAAAGTCTCAAAGAGAGATGTACAATATTTGAAAGTTCTCTCTTTGTGTTCCGAAATATGTTGTTGTTTAAAAAATTTATATAATAATGTGCATTTGCCAGGAATGTATTAGTCACAGCTGGTTTATATTATAAACGTAATTCCAAACTAGTGCTTTGAATGATCAGTTAAATATTTTGAAAAAATATTGTAATATTTATTTACTTGCAATTTTTACATATTTTGGGCTGTTCCACATGGGAAATATATATATTTATATATACAGATCCAAACAAATAACTGTGTATAGTGCGCTTGCGTGTGTCAAGATAGAATAAAATAGAAAAGCTGCTACACACTCTAGTGAGTATCTCTCTCACCCACTACAAAGTAACTTAGAAATAAAAAACATGGTAGTAATGTTGACTGTGAAAACCCAAACCGAAACTGACCGTGAGAGTGGAGCGCTAGATTAGATAAGGGGTTACATGTACCCCAAATGTAGCCAGAATTCAATATATGTATAAATGCATAAAAAAAGAGAAATAGCCATAAAGTGTAAGTATGTTTGACAAAGAGCAGTAGTTACAAAAGTGAGAGTGTGCCAACTCACATTGATGAGAGCCTCAAGGGGACAGGCTCAAATCACAATTTATTTGGTGACACTGTACCTCTTCACCACCTCACGATATATCCTCAGGAAGAAGAAATAGACAGAAAGCAAAAAAGAGCTGTTGGTGTAGTATATCTATACATTAAGGTGGTGAAAAGTGCTAATGCAAATGATTGCTCACTTTTTTCAGAGCCACTGGAACCTGGCTCTGAGTGTAATCGCTTGGCTGTCTATAGAGGGGACACCACCCTTCTTGAAAAGCAGGTAGTGGATGGAGTCAGAATGGGACTAAGAAATATTTATTGATATATACAAATAAAAATTATATATAAACCAAAAGTGATTAAACTAAAATCATACAATAAAAATTGTTAAAAATGTCCAAAACAGGGCTCTTCGGTCTGAGACGCGTTTGGTTGGTCTTCTTCCAATCGGCAGCCCTGTGGGAAGGAAAGCTCAATTGATCCATTTGTTATCAATTATTACTTCATTATCAGTGCGGAAGTGAGGTAACGTCCCTAGTCGCGCCCCTTTCAATTACTAAATCGCCATCTTAATATAGGGTATAAACTCCTCCTATCGAAACCGGAAGTGACGTGACGAAACACTCCGTTCCCAGTTTGCCCATTGGAAAACTCATTATATCTATGCCAGTGATGACTGGGGTTGAACCTGGTGCTATATCGCTATTACATAGATAATATATTTTTTATTTGACGTGGGAGGAAGACTCCCTTTAAAAATGTTTTATGTTTTTAAATTCAAATGAATGGGAAATCACACTAACTAGTGAATATCGAAAACTCTACTTTTTGGATTTAAATATTTACATAGAGCAGGGGTTCCCAATTCATTTTTCCCGTGGAACCCTTTGACATAGTGTATCAACATCGTGGAACCCACCACCCCCAACCCCCAGGAAAAAAAATGTAATTACAATTGCGCCGTTTGTGTGTGTCAAGGTGTGTATATCTGTGCTTGTATGTGCCAGTTGTATATCTGACACACAGATACACACACACACACACACACACACAGTGTGTATCTGTGTGTGTGTGTGTGCATGTATGTATGTATGTATGTATCTATCTATTTATCTGTATGTCAAGGTGTATCTATCTGTGTGTCATGGTGTGTGTATCTGTGTTTGTATGTATCTGTGTATCAAGGTGTGTGTATCTGTGTTTGTATGCACCAGTGTGTATGAATCTGACACAAAGATACACACACTGGCAGATAGTGGCACACAGATACACACACTGACACAGATACACGGACCTTGACACACAGTGTGTATCTGTGTGTGTTCATGTATGTACAGGGAGTGCAGAATTATTAGGCAAGTTGTATTTTTGAGGATTAATTTTATTATTGAACAACAACCATGTTCGTAATGAACCCAAAAAACTCATTAATATCAAAGCTGAATATTTTTGGAAGTAGTTTTTAGTTTGTTTTTAGTTATAGCTATGTTAGGGGGATATCTGTGTGTGCAGGTGACTATTACTGTGCATAATTATTAGGCAACTTAACAAAAAACAAATATATACCCATTTCAATTATTTATTATTACCAGTGAAACCAATATAACATCTCAACATTCACAAATATACATTTCTGACATTCAAAAAACAAAACAAAAACAAATCAGTGACCAATATAGCCACCTTTCTTTGCAAGGACACTCAAAAGCCTGCCATCCATGGATTCTGTCAGTGTTTTGATCTGTTCACCATCAACATTGCGTGCAGCAGCAACCACAGCCTCCCAGACACTGTTCAGAGAGGTGTACTGTTTTCCCTCCTTGTAAATCTCACATTTGATGATGGACTACAGGTTCTCAATGGGGTTCAGATCAGGTGAACAAGGAGGCCATGTCATTAGATTTTCTTCTTTTATACCCTTTTTGCCAGCCACGCTGTGGAGTACTTGGACGCGTGTGATGGAGCATTGTCCTGCATGAAAATCATGTTTTTCTTGAAGGATGCAAACTTCTTCCTGTACCACTGCTTGAAGAAGGTGTCTTCCAGGAACTGGCAGTAGGACTGGGAGTTGAGCTTGACTCCATCCTCAACCCGAAAAGGCCCCACAAGCTCATCTTTGATGATACCAGCCCAAAACCAGTACTCCACCTCCACCTTGCTGGCGTCTGAGTCGGACTGGAGCTCTCTGCCCTTTACCAATCCAGCCACGGGCCCATCCATCTGGCCCATCAAGACTCACTCTCATTTAATCAGTCCATAAAACCTTAGAAAAATCAGTCTTGAGATATTTCTTGGCCCAGTCTTGACGCTTCAGCTTGTGTGTCTTGTTCAGTGGTGGTCGTCTTTCAGCCTTTCTTACCTTGGCCATGTCTCTGAGTATTGCACACCTTGTGCTTTTGGGCACTCCAGTGATGTTGCAGCTCTGAAATATGGCCAAACTGGTGGCAAGTGGCAACGTGGCAGCTGCACGCTTGACTTTTCTCAGTTCATGGGCAGTTATTTTGCGCCTTGGTTTTTCCACACGCTTCTTGCGACCCTGTTGACTATTTTGAATGAAACGCTTGATTGTTCGAGCCTATACAGCTTGGAGTAAGACAACATGCATAAAGAGGATGATGTGGTCAAAATACTCATTTGCCTAATAATTCTGCACTCCCTGTATGTATCTATCTGTGTGTCAAAGTGTGTGTATCTGTGTTTGTATGTGCCAGTGTGTATGAATCTGACAAACAGATACACACACTGGCAGATAGTGGCACACAGATACACACACCTTGACACACAGTGTGTATCTGTGTGTGTGTATGTATGTATCTATCTGTGTGTCAAGCTGTGTGTATCTGTGTTTGTATGTGCCAGAGTGTGTCAAGATGTGCATATCTGTGTTTGTATGCGCCAGTGTGTATATCTCTGTGTCAGTGTGTATCTGTGTGTGTATATGTATCTGATACACAGATATACACACACACTGGCACACAGATACACACTGACACACACCTTGACACACACATACACACACTCAGATACACACTGACACGCACATCTTGACTCACAAATACTTACACACTCAGATACACACACAGATACACACTGACACACTAAGATACACACACACAGGCACATACAAACACACTGATACATACTGGCACATACACACACACTTAGATACACACAGTGACACATACACAAACCTTGACACAAATACACACACTGACACACACACTCTTTGACAGACACACATACACTCTTACTGACAAACACACACACTTTGACAGACACACATACACTCTCACTGACAAACACACACACTCTTTGACAGACACACATACAATCTCACTGACAAACACACACACTCTTACTGACAAACACACGTAATCTTTTACAGACACACATACAAACACATATACACTCTCATAGACAAGAACAGATACATTCTCACTGACAAACACATACACTCACACACTCACTGACAAGCACACATTCACTCTCACTGACAAACACACAAACACATACAAATTCCCTAACAGACACTCATACAAAAATTCTTTTTTACATTTTACTCCACCCAGCCCCCCTACCTTTAGGAGTACTGGCATGGAGTCAGTGGGGTCCAGTGGGCCTGTTGGCAGCTGGCATGAAGTCCCTGTTGTCCAGTGGGGCTGCTGGGTGGCTGGC